TGTCCATATCCAATGTCTCACCAGATATATACCCTTGAAAAACAAAAGTCAGCTGGGCGTGGTGCGTCATGCCTATAATCCCAGCACTTTGGGAGGCCGAGGTAGGTGGATCATGAGGTCAAGAGATCGAGACCATCCTGGTGAACATGGTGAAACCCTGTCTCTACTAAAAATACAAAAATTAGCTGGGCATGGTAGTGCATGCCAGTAGTCCCAGCTACTTGGGATGCTGAGGCGGGAGTATTGCTTGAACCCAGGAGGCAGGGGTTGTGGTGAGCCGAGATCACGCCATTGCACTCCAGCCTGGGTAACAAGAGTGAAACTCCATCTGAAAAACAAAACAAAACAAAACAAAAAACAAACAAAAAAAGAAAAACCTCTTACACTCTTACACATGTACACAAAGCTATGACAGAATGTCTTTTCACTGAAGCATCTTTATCATAGCAAAAAATTGGATCAATGAAAAGTTATACTGATGTAATAAAGAATAGAGAAACAAATTATGCAATATTACTGCAATGGAAGGCTGATTACAGCAGAGGAAAAGAATGAACTCCAGCTATATAAATCAACATGGAAAACTAGGAAAATGTCTGTAGGTATTCAATAACTGCATAGTTGAAAATTAACAGCCTTTGACTCCCTATCTTGCATTTAAAATTTTTTAATTAAATTGAATTTCATACTATTACTGTGTTATTCTAAATAGAAATACTGTTTGTGCTGAATGATCACAGATGTAGCATCCACTGTGTATTGTCAACTCTGGGGACTCTGTCCAGTGCTCTCTGACGGCCATCTTCAGGACCACTTCCTCCACTTAAAAAGGTTTGAGAATCCACCAAAGAGCCTACTTTGTACATGGGTACAATCTGGTTTTTATTTCCTAAGAGACATGTTAAAAATAAGACTACATATGTGAGAGATGAATAGACTTCATATAAATTCAAGAATTTTCTAAAATTCCAGCCATGTGATATTAAAATATCAAGCAAGTCTTGTATATCATGGGTCTACCAGAATCTTATTCTGATAATGAGACAAGAACCCTTTACTGCTTAATAGAAGAAATGACCCAAAAGTGCCCACCGTGATGTCCAAATGGACCAGGTCTCCCAGTTAAGATGATCTTAGAATTTGCCACCCAAAAATGGTTACTTGTGAGAGTGATAGAAAGGGGTATTAATAATCTGCCGGGACAATAGACATAAGCCAGGAATGCTCTGGAGAAAAGAAAATATACATCTAACTTACACAGAACTAACAACCACTTTTTGTTTTTGTCTGTCAGTAAGCATTTCTTTAGAAATTTTTGAAAAAGTTGTCCTTTGTCTAGCTTTGCTAACTACTTCTATAACAATTTTGATTCTCTGGATTTGTTTATTTTCATTTATATGAATGTGCAAGACAGGAAAGTTCTCAGTGCTGTAAACAAAGCACCAGTAGCAATCTCAAGAAGGTGTAAATTGTTTTGTTTTCTTGTCTGAATTCTTGAATTTTACCTCCCTTTTTATGATTTATAATGGAAAGTCCTAAATATTACATTCTTTTAGCATCAGATAACACCCTATCTACAAGCTCTGGGAAATTCTACAATTTAAAATTTTCTTAAAAGCTCTTGCTGCCCTAACATTTAACCTCCTTCCTTTTTTGGTAAGAAAATAATAATGATTCAAAAGATAAGTTTTTAATTTTGTGTCTGTTAAATGGTATGTATTTTGTGAATACTGATATGTATTTTTATATTCAGATTTATGTTATATAACTATGATTAAATATACATTTTATTGGGGAATAATTTAGACAAAATAAAATACTCGTATATGAAGGACACAGTTTGATGAATTTTAGCTTTGTAACCACTTCTCTGATTAAGATATAGAACTCAGGTACAGTCACTATTCTGATTTTCATCATCATAGTTTAATTTATCTAGAAAGCAAACAAAGGAATTATTACTGGAGCTATAAATCTAAATATCTACATACAAACATATAGATGAATCCATACATCCATAGATATCAATATCTATTTTTGTCTAGTCTGCTTTGTTTTAGATTCAGCTCTGTTTTTGAACCTATCAGTATTCCATTCTTTGTATTGCTGAGTAGCAATCATTGCATAAACATAAAACCATTTGCTTATCTATTCATTTTATCATGAGAATTTTGTGCAGTATTAATCTTCATATAAAAAATTGCTATGAACATCATATGAATCAATGAACATTTTATTTTATTCCTCTTGGAAATGGAAGTGTTATACCATTTTACCCTTCACACAGTGCTGTGAGTTCAGTTGCTCAACGTCCTTGACAACACTTGGTATTGCCCGTCTTTCTCCTTTTAGTCATTCTAGTAGGTGTGATGTGGTAGCCCAAGATGTTTTAATTTTCACTTATTTGATTAATAATTATGTTAGTGCCTTTTCATGTGCTTACTCACAATTTGTACATCATCTTTAGTGGCATGCCTGGAGGGCTTGATCAGAACACTTGCCCATTTTTAATGGGCTGATTTGTCTTTTTAGCAATGACTTTTATTATTCTTGATACATCTTGTCCATGAGCAGAACTAGGAAATACATGTTTGTATCCTAACGTGCATTTTTAAGTTCTATATTAAACTATATACAGTAATACATATGTAACTATATATACATATATCTATACATGATATATATCAAACACATATTGATCAGTGCATATATTGATTTTTTATTTTGAAGTAATCCTACATTTCTGGGCTCAATCTATGTGGTCAAGATGTGTTATACTTTCATGTATTGTTGAATGAGATCTGACAATATTTCATAAAAAAATTTAGCATTCATGCTCATAACTGTTATAGGCCCATAATTTTAATACATTTTCATTCTGCTATAGCACTTGTCAAATGTTGGATTCATGGCTATACTGACTTCATACAGCAAATTGGGAATGTTTCCTCTTTCTGTATTTTGTGAAAGAGTTTGTGTAAGTTTTGTATAATTGCTTACTTGGTTTTTTTCCATAGACTGGATTAATAAAGCCAACTGTACCTGGGGGTGTTTTGTGTACAGGAGCAAAGGATGAGATCTTAAGCCTCAATTTTATTTACTTAAACAAAGTAAGGGTATTCAGATTTTCTCTTCTTGTATTAGTCTTAGCAGACTCTATTTTTCAATAAAGGTTTTCATCTCATTTCATTTGCCATTTTTTTCTTTACTTAATACAGGTAATACATTTTTTTCTTTTTACACTTCTATATCTTTATTAATTCATAGTGATGATCTGACAAGTTGTGCTTTTTCTTTTTGTTTCTTTTACTATTCTAACTAGAGATTTATTTGTTTTATTCATCATTTCAAACAACCAACATTTGTATTTATCTCTATCTTATGTTTATTTTCTGTTCTCGTCTTTACTATTTGTTTTCTTCAATTTACCTTGAATTACATTAGCTATTTCTTCAGATGGCCTTATAGAGTGAAATATATTTGTATCATAAACTTTTTCTTCTTTCTAATATAAAATAAGGCTATACATTTCCCTCTAAGCTTAATTTTATAAATATTATTATCTTTAAGTTAACTATAGTTTCTAATTCATTTTGTAGTTTCTTGTGTATAGCTTAATTTACAAATATTTGGGAATTTCTAAACATTATAGCATATTTCGTGTCTTATTTAATTCTGTAGTGTTATAACTTAAATGTTTTGTCTGGCCAAAGGTCAAAAATACTTTCTTCTGTGGTTTTTTTTTTTTTTTCCTATAACTGTTGTGGTTTTAAGTTTTACATTAGTTCTCTAATACACTTTTAGCTAATTTTTGAATTGTTGATTGAGATTCATTTTGTTTACTGTGGATATCAAATTGTTCTGCTATGAACTGCTTTTAGTTAATCCTTTTCTCAATGAATTGCCTTTGCAACTTAGGTGAAAACCAGTTGGCCATGTGAATCTGGGTCTAATTTTGTAGTTTTTATCCTTTTCCTATGATCCTTCTGTGTTATTTTTACAACAGGACCATACTGCCTGTAATCAAGGCAGTCTTATTTTAAGCTTTGAAATGCAGCAGTACCACAACTTTGTTTCAAACACGATGGCACATTGGTCTCTATTAATTCATCTCAAGTAAGAGAAAAATCTAATTCTTCCACAGAACATTTTAAAATTATTTCAATTGACTTTTTACTTTGAAATAATTTCATAACTAGAAAAAAGTTATAAGGATAGTACACAGAATCACTCTATAGCCTACACCCACTTTTTTCTAAGTGTAACATATTATATAACGTTGCCACATTGCCATGAACTGAACTGTAGGTTTTATATTCAGACTTTACCTTTTTTCCGCCGTCTTGTTTCACTCCAAGATCTCACCCAGGAGAGCACATTGCATTTAGTCATCATGCTTTCTGGGTCTCTTCCAATCGATGGCATTTTTTTCAGGTGTTCCTATTTTTTATGACCTTGATAGTTGTGATCAGTATAGGTCAGGTAATTTATAGAAGGTCTCAATTTTGGCTAGTCTAATGCTTCCTCATGATTAGGCTATTTTTATAGATTTTTGTAAGGAATACCACAGAGGTGAACATCCTTCTTATTTCATTATTTGAGGAAGGACATGACTTATTTCTGGTGACATATACCTTGCTCACTGGTTACAGTGCCGTGTGCTGGGTTTCTCTATTCTAAAGTTACTATTTCTCACTTTATGTAGTTTATTTTTAAAAGTGAGTCTCTAAGTCCAACCTACACTCAAGAGTAGGGATACTAAGCTCCACTTCTTGAAAGGAGATATATCAACATCTATTATTTGGAATTCCTCTGCAAGGAAGACTCCCCTGTGCCATATATTTATATTCTTAATCATTTTTATACCAGTATGAATAGTATTCATGTATATTTATTTTATATTTTATATTTAACATAGTATATATGTGTATGTATATACACATACTATATATGTAGGATATATATACACACACACACACTACGTTATATATATTCTTTTTTTTTTTTTAAAGACAAAGTCTTACTCTTGCCCAGGCTGTAATGCAGTGATGCAGTCACAGCTCACTGTACCTTTGAAGTGGGCTCAAGTGATCCTTCCACCTCAGCTTCCTGAGCAGCTGGGACCACAGTTGTGTCCCACTTTGCCTAGCTAATTAAAAAAAATTTTTTTTTTGTAGAGCCAGAGTCTCCCTATGTGGTACAAGCTGGTCTTGAACTCCTGGACTCAAGCAATGCTCCTCCCACCCCAGCCTCCCAAAGTGCTGAGATTGTAGCCGTGAGCCACCACCTGAAGCCAGAGGCTGTTTTCAACATATCATTATTCTCATTTGGTCAGGATAAGACTGAAGGGAGGGGTAGAAAGCTCAGGTAGAGAGTTTCAAAGGCATCATGGTAACAGGGAGCAACACGATCACACCCCACACTGAGGAACCACCAAGACTCAAGTGTGCATTCTCATTGTAGGAAGTCTTCTGCTAACTTGTTGAATTCATCTGCAAAACGCAAATGCAGGTTGTGTTTGCCTTCTGGCATCCAATGCAGCCGTGAGCCTTTCACGTGTTCATGAATGAAGTCAGCATGAAACCTCGGGACCAGAGGATCCTTCTCGCCATGCACAATCAAGGTGGGGCACTGGACCTGGGGCAGCAGGTGCCGGCAGATGTTACCATCTGGGAGAAGTTTAAACTGGCTTATGCCATCCACCCACTTTTCACAGGTTCTGGCAAAGTAGTCATACCCATAGAGGGCTTCTAGAGGCTTTCTTGTTCTCTCACTCCATTTAGAAACATCTCGGATGCCCTCGTAAATCATGCTGTCTTCATCAGTGACGTAGGCGTTGGCGCCCCAGATCACCATCTTGTGGATGTAAGATGGATATTTTGCAGCAGCAATGAGTGCGGTTATGCCCCCATCACTCCACCCCAGCAGAGAAACCTTCTTAAACTTCAACGCCTTCATCAAATCAACAGCATCTTTTGCATCCCTTTCAAAAAAGTCTACTGGGAAATCGCGATCTGGAGGCTTGGAATGTCCATAGCCTCGAGGATCCCAGGCGACCACTGTAAAGAGCTTCTTATTGAGGTTTTTGAGCTGAGGTCCAAAATCAGTCTCTCCACTTCCCAACATCCCAGGAAGTAGCAGGACTGCGTGATCTCCCTCTCCAGTCTGCTGATAATGCAGATGAACGCCATTCACAGCCACTTTGGCGCAGGTTATAGAGGTGCCGAACGCGGCCGTGGGTCCGGCCTGTGAGACAAGGATACCGGGCTTCAGCGCCGAGAGCAGCATCCGCAGCCGCAGCAGCAACCGCAGCACGCCTGGGCGGCCCAGCACAGACGCCATAGTCCCGTTATATATATTCTTGCACAAATTGTACAAACTTTGGCTATCATGAGTTCTTTCAGATGGGTCTCATGTCCTTTTTATATAACCTTATCTTCATTTAACTTCTAATTTTGCTACTATTCTACTTTCTAGCACTATAATATGCATTATGCTTATCTTCTATTTTCCATGCCTCGAGTAGGGAATTAGCTATTTTTCCAGAAAATCCTGGTCCATTTCATTGGAGAGTAATATTTAGAAATGGAGGCACAGCACACGCAGTGTGTTTGTGGTTACTGGAATTACAGTGCTTCTAGGCGCTGTGCATGTGCAGAGCTAGGGAGTACATGCACATTATCTTAATACTCATGAGCATACAGTCTCTGTATCTGTCTGTATTTGTTATTAAATTACACAAGTTCATAATATCACCAGTTGTAATATAGAACCATGAGTTTCAAAGTCAATCCCCACCAACCCTGCCTTCTTCCTCTGACAGAGAAAATCCTGAATCAACTTGGTTAAGGTCGAATCTGCCAGGTTTATCTATTCCAAAGTCACTCTTTAGAGCAACCCATTACCTACATTTTATTATCTATGTGTCAAACTCTAGTGTATTTGTAAAGTGGTTTCAATATTTCTAATCTGAATCTCTTTAAAAAACAAATTTCCCAAATAAGGTACAGTGATTAACTGTAATTCTTTTGTCTTTAGCCTACATTACAGTTTCCAGTCAAAACCATCCTTTTACTGATGTTTCTCAAGTTAGCTCTGATTTTTCACTCACCATATTCCTAAAGTTTGTTATACATTTATAATACAGTTTGATCCATTTTTCAGTCTGCATTGCATTCTGACATCCCCTGACATCCTGGTTTATCTTTTTTTTAATTGATACGTTTTCAAATTTACTAGATGACTCTTGACAGACGCATAGAATCATGTATCTACTACCCAAGTATCAAGAAGAAGAATTTTATCACTTCAAAGTTCCCTGTATTCTTGTTACATTCAATCACTCAATCACTCCTGCATTTGTTTTTAAATAAAACACCAACAGGATATATGGTTTAAAAATTTTTTAATTGTACTTCATACAAATTTAAACTTTTGCTCTGTGAAAGCCACTGTAAAGAGAATAATCAGAGAGCCATATGGTGAGAGAAAATATTTGCAAATCACATATCTGATGAAGCATTTGTATCCAGAATGTAAAGAAATCTTAAAACTCAACAAAAAAAACCTAAAAAACAAAAAAATTATCACAAGACTTTTAAGATACTTAACTGTAGAAGACATATCAATGGCAAATAAGAATATAAATAAATCTAAGCTTAAACCACATTGAAAGACCACTACATAATTTTTAGAATGTCTAAAATAAAACAAAACTCTCACAGTATCAACAGCTAGTGAGGATGGGGAGGCACAAAAATTCTCACTGTTTGTTAGTGATTGATGTAGCCACTCTGAATGAGTTTGGTGGTTTTTTAGATAAGTAAGCCTTACCATTCACCTCAACATTCCCACTTTGGTTTTTGTTTGTTTGTTCAGTTTTGTTTTGTTTTGTTTTGTTTTGTTTTGTTTTGTTTTGTTTTGTGAGACTGAATTTCACTCTTGTTGCCAAGGCTGAAGTGCAATGGTGCCATCTTGGTTATGGCAACCTCTGCCTCCCAGGTACAAACGATTCCCCTATCTCAGCCTCCCAAGTAGCCCAGATCACAGGCATGTGCCACCACATCCAGCTAATTTTTTTGTACTTAGTAGAGACAGGGTTTCACCATGTGAGTCAGGCTGGTTGCGAACTCCTGACCTCAGGTAATTCACCTGACTTGGCCTCCCAAAATACTGTGATTACAGACATGAGCCACCATGTCTGGCTGAGCATTCCCACTTTTAAGCTTTACCCAAGGAACCTGAAAGCATGTTCACACACACACACACACACACACACACACACACACACTGGATATTCTTTAGTTGAATTATTTTCTTATCCTTGTACAAAACGACATTAAGAATAGGCATTTTATTTTTCCAATTTTTTTCCAAAGTGCCTTAATAAGTTAAACTAAATAATTTATCTATATGTAACTATAGTTCTACAAGTTTCCACCTCACATTTTATACAAAGATAGTTCAAGTCATCCATATATTTTCATGAGAATTTGAATATGAATATTTTATTTCTCCTTTAAATGCATTTGAATTTTATTATTTATCGATACCTAATTATTTAAATATATATTTCTAATTTTAAATTATTTAAATAAGTGAACTGTTACTTTCTAAAATATATGAAAATACAAATAAAAAGTGAAGTTGACAATAAGGACATTTGGAACAATCAATTCTACTTTCCCTAAACTTTGTTGGGGGAGAAAAATATTTCAGTTTGTGTTACTAATCCCTAAAGCAGAGTATGTCAGTGAGAGTTTCTCAGCGCAACCCCACAGCCATGACTCTCTGTAAGGCAGGACAGGCACTGTATCCTAGACTTTTATCTTGAGTAAGTCTAACAAGGGGCCCAAAATTCACATTAGTAGACTTCTTGTTTGACTCTGGCCTACAACCAGGAGATACTTCATGAGTTTCACATCGATTTTTTAAAAATTAATAAATAGTTACAAATAAATTAGTCCAAAAGTAAGTATTAAAATATCAAAAATACAGAACTACTTTCTCTGTAGACAAGGAAGCAAGCAAATAAAACTGAGGAGTATATAATTTCATCTAGCTATATATATGTGTGTATAAATTTTTCACATTTAATGTTTCAAGACCTACTTTAAAATGTGCCTGTAGTCATTGTCTCCATTCTTGAAGATTCTCATCAATCCATTCCAGTGAGATTCCCCCTTTTCTCTCAGGACTGCTCTCCTCCAGGGTGCCTGGGCTCTGCTGCTGTCACTCCCGGTACCCTCCCTATTGTTGGTATTGTCTTCATTCCTGAAGCACTGAGTGCTCTGGGCGTGGAGGGTGCCACATGTGACTGGCATTCCTACCTCATTTGGTGCTTCCTGTCATCTTATTTTTTCATTGTTTTCACTCATCATGACCTCCAAAGCCCACAGCATGGCAAGCAGCTCAAGTTCTGTTCTCTTTCCTGACCTCTGTTCAAGATCACCAAGACTGCTGACCTGACAACACTACTAGAAGCTTTCATAGGCATCTCAAACCCAGCATAAAAAATAGAACTATTGATCCCTTTCCTTTATATAAAAAATGCTCTGCATGCCTCATATGTGTGAGTAGAATGTCCATCCACCCTCTGCTCACCTCCCAATCTACAGCCACTCTTCCTGCTCCCTCAATCGCCTTCCACTCATTCTTATATGTTGTCCTGTAGTGTAAATAGAATCACTCCATCCCCATTTGTTGCCACAGTTGTGTATAGCATTTCCCTGGATTCCTCAAGAAGCTTCCTAAATGATCCCAGTTTTATTCTTGAACCCTCCAATTCATCTTACTGTGCTAAAGCATAAAATATATGATAAAATTCTCATCCTTCACTTACAGCACCCTAAAAGAGCTGGTCCTTATATAACCCATGAAAATTATTCCTGAAAATTTGTATGCAGACAGGTTTTATATGTATATATATATATATATATATATATATATATATACACAAATGGTTGTATTTACTTTCCCAAATCACAGAGCTTTTAAGTAGGCTTTAAGTTTTATGTTTACATTGAAGCTTTCCCTTGCTGAAAGTCTAACACTTAAAATTTGCAGGGAGAGGAAGTGAATTGTGTATAATTTTATACTTTATTTCCATCTTTACAGGTGAAATGCTTAAGGGGCTACATTAAGTTTTTCCTTTAAAACAGAACCTTCATTGACTATCATTCCCAAAGCCCTGAAAATGTAAAATGATATTTTATTTTTTATATAATCATTAAATAAATTTTAATGTTTTCTATATTTTTATTTTGAAAAAAGCCAAATTTATAGAAAATTTATACAAGCAGTTTAATGAATTCCTATATACCCTCACCTACACTCATATTTGCACATTATTTTATATATTTTTCCTTCATTCTGTCTTTCTATATACATTCACATATTCATATAAATAATGAAGATACTATTGTTAATGTTCATTGCTATTACCAATGGTTGCAAATGTCACAGTGATTATTCCTAAGTACTTCAGTGTTTACCTTCTGTAAGAATAGGAACATTTTCATCCCAGCACTTTGGGAGGCTGAGGTGGGTGGATCATGAGGTCAGGAGATTGAGACCATCCTGGCCAACGTGATGAAACCCCATCTCTACTAAAAATACAAAAATTAGCTGGGCATGGTGGTGGGCACCTGAAGTCCCAGCTACTCAGGAGGCTGAGGCAGGAGAATCGCTTGAACCCAGGAGGCGGAGGTTGCAGTGAGCCCAGATCGTGCCACTGCACTCAGCCTGGTGACAGAGCGAGACTCTGACTCAAAAAAAAAAAAAAGGAATAGGAACATTTTCTTACATAAACCAACATACAGTTATCAAATTCGGAAAATCTAATATTGATATAATATCATAATATACAGTTAGTATCCCAATGTCACCAATCATCCCCAAACAACCTTCATGTGGTTTCTTTTTCTTGATCCAGAATCCAATCCAGGATCATACATTGCAATGAGTTATCGTCTCCCTTTAGTTTCCTTTAACCTGTAACAGTTCCTTGCCTTTCTTTGCTTTTATGACAATTGATATTTTTGAAGAGTACAGGCTAGTTTTTTCGTGGACTTTCTCTCAATATGAACTTCTCTGATGTCATGTAACAATTTATTTTTGCAAGTGTGGCAGGAATACCACACAACTAATATTGCTTCCTACTTGGTGCACCTTAATGCTGAGAGGCACATGATGTTAGTTTAGCACATTACTAGTGTTGCTGACTTCGATCACCTGGCTCAGATGGCATCCACAAGGTTTCTCCATGTAAAATCATCAATATTTTCTTTGTGATTGATAAGTGATATGGGGGGAAGTACTCTGAGACAATGTAGTTGTCTGTTTCCC